GAAAGTACGCCCCCTCCCCTCCAATAGTGGAGAGGAAGTAGAGACAGCTTCTTGCCCAACGTTATGATTCCTACACACACACACTGGTCTTAGACAAAACAAAAGAAGTTTATTAATTCCAAAAGATAGATTTTAAGTGGGGCTGTCGATTAATCGCAGTTAACTCACGCGATTAACTCAAAAAAATTAATCCCGATTAATCACAGTTTTAATCGCATTGTTAAACAATAGAATACGAACTGAAATTTATTAAATATGTTTGGATGTTTTTCTACATTTTCAAATATATTGGTTTCAGTTATAACCCAGAATACAAAGCGTACAGTGCTCACTTTATATTATTTTTATTACAAATATTTGCACTGAAAAATGATAAAAGAAACAACATTTTTCAATTCACTTCATACAAGTACTGTAGTGCAATCTCTTTATTGTGAAAGTGCAACTTACAAATGCAGATTTATTTTTTTTGTTACATAACTGCATTCAAACAAAACAATGCAAAACTTTAGAGCCTGCAAGTCCACTCAGTCCTACTTCTTGTTCAGCCAGTCGCTCAGACAAACAAGTTTGTTTACATTTACGGGACATAAATTTGTCTGCTTCTGATTTACAGTGTCACCCGAAAGTGAGAACAGGCGTTCACATGGCACTTTTGTAGCCAGCCTTGCAAGGTATTTACGTGCCAGATATGCTAAACATTCGTATGCCACTTCATGCTTCAGCCACCATTCCAAAGGACATGCTTCCATGCTGATGATGCTTAGTTTAAAAAAAAAAAAAAGTTAACTAAATTTGTGACTTAACTCCTTGGGGGAGAATTATATGTCTCCGGCTCTATTTTACCTGCATTCTGCCATGTAATTCATATTATAGCAGTCTTGGATGATGACTCAGCACATGTTCGATTTAAGATCACTTTCACTGCAGATTTCACAAAATGCAAAAGAAGGTACCAATGTGAGATTTCTAAAGAGAGCTCCAGCACTCGACCCGAGGTTTAAGAATCTGAAGTGCCTTCCAAAATCTGAGGAACGAAGTGTGGAGCATGCTTTCAGAAGTCTTAAAAGAACAACACTCATGTGTGGAAACTACAGAACCCGAACCACCGAAAAAGAAAATCAACCTTCTGCTGGTGGCATCTGACTCAGATAATGAAAATGAACATGTGTCAGTCTGCACTGCTTTGTTATCAAGCAGAATCTATCATCAGCATGGACCCATGTCCTCTGGAATGGTGGTTGAAGCATGAAGGGACATATGAATCTTTAGTGCATCTGGCAAAGATCTTGCAAAGTCGGCGAACGCCTGTTCTCACTTTCAGGTGACATTGTGAACAAGAAGCAGACAGCATTATCTCCTGCAAATGTAAATAAACTTGTTGGTCTGAGCGATTGGCTGAACAAAAAGTAGGACTGAGTGGACTTGTAGACTCTAAAGTTTTGCATTGTTTTTGTTTGAGTGCAGTTACTTTTTGTACATAATTCTACATTTGTAAGTTCAACTTTCATGATAAAGAGATTGCACTACAATACTTGTATGAGGTGAAGTGAAATACTTTTTTTTTACAGTGCAAATATTTGTAATCAAAAATAAATATTAAGTGAGCACTGTACACTTTGTATTCTGTGTTGTAATTGAAATCAATATATTTGAAAATGTAGAAAACATCCAAAAATATTTAAATGGTATTCTATTACTGTTTAACAGTGCGATTAATTACGAGATTAATCACGATTACTTTTTTGAATCACTTGACAACCCTAATTTTAAGCGATTATAAGGGATAGCAAACAGATCAAAGCAGATTACCTAGCAAATAAACCAAAACGCAATCTAAGTGTAATATACTAAAGAAAGTGGACAGGTGTAGCAAATTGTCACCCTTAATTTTGTTTTAGGCAGATTGCAGAGATTCTTGAGGGCAAGCTGCACTTGCAATTATTCCTTTCATAAGCCAGACACCCTCTAGCCTGGGCTCAGCCCTTCTTCCCTAGTCCAGTCTTTTTGTTCTCAGGTGTTTCCAGCAGTCCTCTTTCCTGGGCAGGGAGTCGGTGAAGAACGAACCATGATGTCCTCTCTCCCCTGCCTTAAATAGCTTTTGCATATGGCGGGAACCCTTGTCTCCCAGTTTGATTCCCACGCCCGGTCAGTGGGAAAACACGAATATTATAGACTCATAGGACTGGAAGGGACCTTGAGAGATCATCTAGTCCAGTCCCCTGCACTCCTGGCAGGATTAAGTATTATCTAGACCATCCCTGACAGGTGTTTGTCCAACCTGCTCTTAAAAATCTCCAATGATGGAGATTCCACAACCTCCCTGGGCAGTTTATTCCAGTGCTTAACCACCCTGACAAGGAGTTTTTCCTAATCTCCAACCTAAACCGCCCTTGCTGCAATTTAAGCCCATTGCTTTTTGTCTTTTCCTCAGAGGTTAAGAAGAACAATTTTCCTCCCTCCTCCTTGTAACAACCTTTTATGTACTTGAAAACTGTTATCATGTCCCCCCTCAGTCTTCTCTTCTCCAGACTAAACAAACCCAGTTTTTTCAATCTTCCCTCATAGGTCATGTTTTCTAGAACTTCCATCATTTTTGTTGCTCTTCTCTGGACTTTCTCCAATTTGTCCATAGAATATCAGGGTTGGAAGGGACCTCAGGAGGTATCTAGTCAAACCCCCTGCTCAAAGCAGGACCAATCCCCTTCCTCAAATGTGGTGCCCAGAATTGGACACAATACTCCAGTTGAGGCCTAATCAGCACAGAGTAGAGCGGAAGAATTACTTCTCGTGTCTTGCTTACAACACTCCTGCTAATACACCCCAGAATGATGTTAACTTTTTTGCAACAGTGTTACACTGTTGTCTCATATTTAGCTTGTGATCCACTATGACCCCAGATCCCTTTCCGCAGTGCTCCTTCCTAGACAGTCATTGCCCATTGTGTATGTGTGCAACTGATTGTTCCTTCCTAAGTGGAGGACTTTGCATTTGTCCTTATTGAATTTCATCCTATTTACTTCAGACCATTTCTCCAGTTTGTCCAGATCATTTTGAATTAAATCCTGTCCTCTAAAGCACTTGCAGCCCCTCCCAGCTTGGTATCATCCGCAAACTTCATAAGTGTTCTCTCTATGCCATTACCTAACTCACTGATGAAGATATTGAACAGAACCGGACCCAGAACTGATCCCTGCAGGGTCCCACTCGTTATCCCTTCCAGCATGACCGTGAGCCACTGATAACTACTCTCTGGGAATGGTTTTCCAACCAGTTTTGCACCCACCTTATAGTAGCTCCATCTAGGTTGTATTTCCCTAGTTTGTTTATGAGAAGATATACCACGTCTACCCCTTCCCCCCATTCACAAGGCTTGTTACCCTGTCAAAGAAAACTATTGTGGAGTCCAGTACCAGGTGACTTGGTCACATGTCTCTGTAGGGCCACCGCAGCCATGACTAAGGCTGTTTGCAGCATCCCCAGGAAGGCTTCTCAGGCAGGCTCCCGATGGGAGATTAGCATCTTCTAAGACCTATTGTTCTCCTTAATGGCCCTTCCCAGCTTGACATCTAGACTGATTGCATTCTGTCTAGCGGACATTCCCCAGGTGTAAACCCATTTCTAATAGATGCATAGACAATATTCCTAACTTCAGATACCAAAAAGATACATGCATACAAGTAGGATAACCATATTCAGTAAATCATAACTAGATCCCTACCAAATTCACGGCCATGAAAAACACGTCATGGGCTGTGAAATCTGGTCTTTTGTGCGCTTTTACCCTATCCTATACTGATTTCAAATTGGGAGCCCTGACTCAAAAGGGAGTTGCAGGGGGGTCACAAGGTTATTTTAGGGGTATTGCCACCCTTACATCTGCGCTGCCTTCAGAGCTGGGTGGCTGGAGAGTGGTGGCTGTTGGCTGGGTGCCCAGCTCTGAAGGTGGTGCCCTGCCAGCATCAGCACAGAAGTAAGGGTGGCAATACCACACCATGCCACCCTTCGTCGCTGCTGCCTTCAGAGCTGGGCAGTTGGAGAGTGGCGGTTGCTGACGGAGAGCCCAGCTCTGCAGGCAGCAGTGCAGAAGTGAGGGTGGCAATACTGTACCATGACGTCCTTACTGCTGTGCTGCTGCTGGCGGGGCTCTGCTTTCAGAGCTGGGCTCCTGGCCAGCAGCCGCCGCTCTCCAGCTGCCCGGCTCTGAAGGCAGTGCTGCTGCCTGCAGTGGTGCAGAAGTAAGGGCAGCAGTGTGGCCACCCTCCCCCCACAATAACCTTGTGACTCTCCTTCCTCTCTTCTCCCCCCCCCCACTCCTTTTTGGGTCAGGACCCCTACAATTACAACACAGTGACATTTCAGAGTTAAATAGCTGAAATCATGACATTTACTGTTTAAATCCTGTGACCATGAAATGTACCAAAATGGAGCGTGAATTTGGTAGAGCCCGACTCGTACCCTTTCCAATGACACCTCACGTGCCTTCTGCACAAAATACATCAGAATTATGCCATACTCGTGTCGTCATATGACTATGAAGAATAGGGGGCAAAATGCCAAAGGCTGTTTGTGGGCACCCCGCACTACCCTGCGTGCATGGCGGTGCGGCGTGGGTGGTGTGTGTGGGGTGGGCGAGGTGTGGATGGAGCATGGGGGGCAGGGCGCAGCGTGGGGGGCAGGGTGCAGTGTGGATGGAGGGTGTGGGAGGCAGGGCATGGCGTGGGGGGTGGCGTGGCACGGATGGAGCGTGGGGGTGGTGTGGGGGGCAGGGTGCGGCATGGATGGAGCATGAGGGGTGTGGGGGGCAGGCGTGGCATGACATGGATGGAGCTTGGAGGGTGTGGGGGGCAGGGTGCGGCATGGGTGGAGCATGGGGGCATGGTGTGGAGAGGTGGGTCTGGGCGCTGCGTGGGGCAGGGCGCCGTGTGCTTGCTGGTGCATTGTTGGGGGGGTCTGGGCACTGCGTGGGGCAGGGCGCCGTGTGCTTGCTGGTGCATTGTTGGGGGGGTCTGGGCGCTGCGTGGGGCAGGGCGCCGTGTGCTTGCTGGTGCATTGTTGGGGGGGTCTGGGCGCTGTGTGGGGCAGGGCGCCGTGTGCTTGCTGGTGCATTGTTGGGGGGTCTGGGGGCTGCCCCCAGCAGCTGCTCAGGCCCCCTCGCTGGCTGTCGTGGCAGGCGGAAGCAGCAGACTCTGGAGGCGGAAGAGGCCAGGCAGCGTCTGCAGGAACAGTCCATCTTCGTAAGTGACGTCCTGGGGTCCTCCCCCGGCGTTGAACGCCAGCGGCTCTCCAGCCCCCCAGGGCGCACCTACCAGCGCCACCCCAGCGCCACCGCCTGAGGCAGGGGCCAGTGCTTAGTTTGTGGCTGGCGGCTCGTCGCCCCGGCCCCTCTTTCATTGCAGACCATCTGTGGCCAGCCCCCCTGCCCTCCGGAGCCCCCCTGCCTCTCTGCCACCACCGCAGGGGGGCCTTGGATCCCATAGTGCTTCTGGGAGGGGTCCCTGGGGTGGCTCTGCCCGGGGCTGGGGGGCTGCAGTCGGGGCTGACGCTGCTTCTCTCCCCAGGGCGAGCAGCAGCACGAGGAGGAGAATGGGCAGGAGCTCAAGAAGTCGGAGTCAGAAGTGGAGGTGAGTGTTTGGCCCGGAGCTGCTCTCCCCCTCCCCCCCCCGGAGGGGCCGGGCAGAGTCAGCCCATGGAAGGGCAGTTGTGGGTTTAGGGATGTGTTCGGAGGCCAGGCCATGGCAGGGTGGGATTTGGTCTGAAGCAGGCCATGGTGGGGAGGGGTGGAGGGCGGATGGCAGGGCAGGGTGCGGCCGGGGGGGCTGGCCACAGACGGTGGGGTGAGCAGAGCAGGGCACAGTGCAATGGGGTGTAGATGGTGGGGCTCGGGCTGCGGGGGGGGGCATGGTTGGCAAGGCCATGCGGGATTGGGGTGGTGGGGTGGAGTCGGGGGGGGCAAGCTCAGGTGGGTTGGAGTTTTGGGGGTAGGGCATGTTGGCAGGCTCAGGCGGTGCCTGGGGGTGGGGCAGGCTTGTGGGGACGGGCTCCAGGCAGGGCAAGGGTGGGTTGGGGTGGTGGGGCGGGCTGGTTGGAGGCTGAGGGTGGGCTCGTGGGGAGTGGGCTCTTTGCGGGTAGGCTCCAAGCAGCACAGGGCTGCGGCAGGGGGCAAGGGCAGGCTCCAGGCCAGACGGGAGCGGGTTGGGGACTGGGGGCAGGCTCCAGGCCGGACGGGGCAGGCTCATGGGGGGCAGGCAGACAAGAGTGGGTTGGGGGGTGGGTTAGGGGCTGGGGGCGGGCTCCAGGGCGGGTTGGAGGCTGGGGACAGGCTCGCGGGGGGCAGGTGGACAGGGGCGGGTTGGGAAGCGGGTTCACGGGGGCAGGCAGACGGGGCGGGTTGGGAGGCGGGTTCGTGGGGGGCAGGCAGACGGGGC